GAGAGTAGTGGAGCGAGGCACCTTGTTTCTCCCGTCGTTCTGCGGTTGGTATGGAAAGCGTGAGGGTATATTGTGGACCTGATTACGGCCAGATGCATCGAGGTGTGGCCGGAATTGCAGTCAGATACACTTTAGGAAAGTGAAAGTGTCAGTAAGCCCTGAGAATAGCCGATCCATGGAACTACCTAGTGCCCATGTTGTAATGACATGGTGTACCAGCCGCAACGACAGGAGGGTCGGAGTGATGGGAGCAAGCAGGAGGAGGAGGGTGTTCATTCCAACTACGATGTGCTGAAATGATGCAAATTTTCTACCTTTGGAGGCTAGATAGGTTGCTGGTTTTCAGCCACACTCAGAGTGTTGTGGCTTTGCAGCGTCTTCGCTTCCGGCCATTTGATGCCGACTTTCGGCCAATTGATGCAAGTTTTGCAGCTTTTACATTCTTTTTTTTTTTTGCTCCAGTGTGACGTTTTTTTCATATTCCAAATTTCTCGCTTTCCCATGAAGCAAACGCTTTTTCTCGCAAGGGTGAATTTTATCTCTCTTCATTTTTTTATTGTTTGTTTTCCAAATTTTCAGACTATTTTCAAATGTGTGTAACTCTGTGTATGTAATATTTATGTTTGACAATGTGTGTGTGTGTGTGTGTGTATGTGTGCAAGTGTGTGTGTGTGGGAGTGTATGTGTGAAATTGTGTGTGTGCCAGACCACGTTGTTGCATTTGCAGATGCTATACAAGTTGCATAGGCTGCTGTAGCATTGGATGCATCCATAGCAATATCAAAGTGACCAGATGTAACAACCGTTGCTCTTGCACAGCAGATGCCACAGCTCGGAAAAATATAAAATAAAAAAATCAGCACGTCAATCCTATGACGTCCAGGGGGTTCAGGACAGTTGGGTGCGGTTCAGGACAATCAGGGGTGGTTAGGGGTGATTAAAAAAAAATAGAGGCGGTTAGGGACAGTTAGGGGCGGCTAGGGACAGTTAGGGGCAGTTAGGGACAGTTAGGGACAGTTAGAGCGGTTAGCGGAGAGTGGGTTACGAGCACGGATGGTTACGGGTGGGTGCATACAACTATGGGTAGGTACAGGTGAGTATAGGTAAAGCAAACTTGTGTAGGGTAGGGTATGGGTGGTTAACAAATGGTTTGGGTTCAGGTGGCCATGGGTGGTTTTGAAAAAAATTGTTTATGGGTAGGTATGGCCAGTTACATGCTGAAGAGGTTCAGGTAGGGTAGGTTAGGGTATACCTTTTTTTTTTTTTTAGCAGTTGGAGATGGGTAAAGGTCTGGCAGGCCAGGTATACAGTGGGTATGGGTGGTTGGTTTTCAAAGAGGATGTGGTTAGGTCAAGTACAGGTATTCCTAAAAATCCCAGTTGCGAACTCTGATAGGGACTTCACATGCACTTCACGGGTAGGCAGGAGGCAGTTGGTAGTCTTCAGGATTCGGCAGCAACACTCTGGAGGGAGCGCTGCAGTAGTAGTAGTAGCGTTAGCATTAGTCTTCAGCGCTGGGCGCCAGTAGGTAGTTGTAGTCTTCAGCGCTGGGCGCCATAGCTAGGATAGTACTAGAGAGAGAGAGATTGGACGGAGGCCAGGAGTACCTACCTACAACGTCGTTGCTCCAGCTTCGTCTTCAAAGTACCTGCAGCACGGCGCCAACTTCACAGGTTAGTACATGGCTCGTGAGAGAGAGAGAGTTCTTCTTCTTCCTCTTCTCAGYCCACCATCTCCCTCTCACCCTCTCATTTTCTGACTTCACTGCATCAACAGACTACGAGAGAAAGAGAGAGAGAGAGCTTGGTGACATTGGATCCAGACTCGACTTTTGGGCTTCAGACATTTTGACGAGGGATTATTTGGAACTCGTGACAAAGACTTGGTGTTGACGACACTCCCATCTCTCCCCCCTCTCCTTCGTCTGATCCCCTCCTCTTCGCCTGTGTATGTATGGACCTGGCGCTTCCTTCTTGTGTAATAGTGCCAGGCTCCTTCACACCTTGTGATGAGCATGATGTATGTTTGGTCTGCGTTGAAACATTGAGCTAGTCATTAGTATTCTAGCATTCTGCTTCGCTATCTTGTACTACGTGAAAGGGGGTCAGTCTCGGTCAGGTCATGATTTGTATCTAAGTCTTCCTTGCATTATAAAGCACCATTTTGTATGTATCGGAATGCACGTTGCTTGTTGAGATTCTACTTGCACTGCATTATCCATTCAGTCCTTTTCATCACATTGCGGATCCTCGGTTTTGTATGTGCATCGCCCAACTGGGCATGTAACAGGTGCTGACGTGGCAAAGGTAGAGTGGTTTTCACCATATGCCTATGCTGACATGGCAGTCACTGGTTGGTTCCTGTATTGCCGCATGAATTCCAAAAGAGCTGACGAGGACGACAAAACAAGCGCTCGTGTAGCATATTGACTAGTGATAGTACTGCTGACATGGCATATTGATTTGCAACAACATTGCCTACGTGGCATACTGGCAATGCTGAGGAGTCATCAGGGAGAGAAAACCATTGTGGTTGGCAAGAGTAGGCTGACGAGGAACCAGAGGAATAGTGGGATGATGTATCCCATTTAGTGCTGATGTTGGACTAAATGTCGTGGCCTTTGATTGACACTGATCGACACTTATCTGGTTGATGTATTTTGATGCTAACGTGGACTTACTTGTGAGGTTTTCTGATGTTGTTTGGCCTGTGCATTGACAGTTGATTATTCTTGATCGCACGAGCATAAGAAACCGACACACTTTAGTTGTCAGCATCACAAGCAGCAAAGCACGTTGAAAAAAAAAAAAAAAAAAAAAAAGTAGATTAAGACCGCGGAACAGATACTTGCATAATCTGATTGTGCCATAACTCGAGGATGGCATCCATGTGGAACAACTTGCGGCTGTCTGGTTTGACAAAGTTCAACCGCTTGTTTTTCCATCCGGTCTCATTAACCATGTGTGCAGATGAGGAACCACATACACGCGGGCAAGTGAATGCCCACACCGACCAGGAGAAGCTGAAACTTTAGTAGGTCCTCACAAAAATTCACGAGGCTGGCCTTCGAGCTAAAAATAATGTCTGGAGCCAGTTCGACCTGCGCATCTTTGAAGAGTAGTTGAACCAGGCTGAGAAGGGAGTTGATCTCCTCCATGTGGCAAGAGAAATGGACCTGGTCATAGCCAGGGCTCGCCACAGTCTTGATCAATTTGTCTCCGAAACGCTGGCCCGAAATATCGAGCACATTGAAGAAGAGGACAAAAGAAAAGAGGGAGCAACAAGCGGGGAAACCAAACAAAAATTAAATGAGGATGTAGTTGATCAGAATATCAGACAACTACAAGAAGCATTGCAGGCAGAGAAAAAGAAGAAGGAAGCCATGGAACAACAACGGAAAAAGCGAGAAGAAGAAGAAAGGAAAATTAATGAAATCAGAAGTAAGGTAAAAATAGAAGAAGGAAGTGGTGTTGCAACTCTCATTCAAAATTTGATGTCTTACCTGGTTCACTTGGATACGAAGTTAGACAAAGTCATTGCTGACAAGGACCTACTTTCTGCCCAGTTGGCAACGTTGACCGATGCGGTCAAGCAAAAGCAGCCTATGACCGGAGAAGAACAGGAGAAGACTAGAGAAGAATCAAAGCCTGAACTAGTGAAAAAACTGATGGGAGATGCAATGAAATCCACCCCGAAAAATGAAACCCCAAAAAGAGAAGTGAAGAGGGAAAAAGTGAAAATGAAACTCTCATTCACATTCACCAGAAAAAAATGAGAACACCTGCTGTTGTGGATTGTTGAGGTTCATACCTACTGCTGTACAACCCCGGTAGACGAAGATAGGCAGGTGGCGTTCACCACCTCATATCTTGGCGAAGACGTTAAGGCATGGGTACTGCCGGAAGGGAACGCCACCATATTTAAGTTTACTAAGGATTGGGCGAAGATGTTGACTTTCAGTGAATTTATGAAGAAGATTAAAGAAAAATTTCTAGATAAGACCACAGTAGACAAGGTGTTTGATAAGCTTACCGCAATTAACCAGCGACACTGGACATTTGTGGATGCTCTCTCTCGTGAAGTAAATTGTCTGATGCAGGTACCAGGACCGAATATTCATAATGATCAGATTCTCTACGTCTACTAACGAGCCTTATCTGAATGTACCCATGGACAGCTGGTTACCAAGTTGAACTCGGGTAAATATATGTATAGACAATTTTGAGATCTCGCCCTGCAGCGGGAACAAATGACATCGCAAGTGAAAAACACCTACGTTGGGGTTACCAAGTCAGAGCAAGGGAGTGGATCAGGGAAAATAAATTTGTAGAGGCAGAAGAGACAAAACCACACGCTCGTTGTGTTCGATGACGATACAATGGAGAAGTGGCCCCTTGAGGGAAGCGAGGGACAGGCGAATGCGGATGCGGAATCGGGAAAAGGGTGATGTCACAATCGCAGTTGTCAGCAAGGGTGGTAACAATAATAAAAATGGAAATGGATATAGTAAGAG